TCCCCCTCCTTTCTAGCACTGCTGAAGTTACCTTTTTGGGTGATGAAATGTCCAAGAAAACCACCAAGCTCAGAGAGCGCCAAGGACCCCTAGTGATTCTCCTCCTCCCCATCCTTCCATCCTTCCTTCCTTCCTCCTCCCCCTCCTCTTCTCCTCCAGTCCGCAATCCCCACTGCCTAGCACTGATGATGTTACCCTAGTTGGGTAATAAACCATCTGCAGCCATCTGCAACCACCAAGCTCGGAAACCAACGCAGATCCCCACGTTTAGCAACTGTTCAAAATTAGGAAGGCCCCGGGGGAAAAAGTACCTTGAAGCTGGTCCTCAAACCTAAGACCATTGCAGCCTCCCTGCAGTCACGTGATCGAAACTCAGGGGCTTGGCCATGGGGCTCACATTTGCAACGGTGGTGGGATCCCGCAATCACGGGATCACTATTTAGGATCTTCTCATCCGGTTATGACACGCGAAGACAGCGGGGGAGGCTGGATTTGTATAATTACCCTGGTGACTCACTTAGGGACTGCAGCCAAAAAGATAATAAAATCAGACACGCTCCCGTAAGGACTTATCGTGGCTGGCTGTCAGAATTCCGGCAATTACCCCAAATTAAATCATGGTCTTGAGCCAAACTTCCAAAACTTCAAAACGATTTATTGGGAGTTAACATGTCCGGCACTGCCTAGGTGGAGCCGACTCTGAGACATATAATTCATTGTCACCCTTGACCCTGGTTTTCCCCCTACCCCCTGGGTGTATCATAATTCATATTCTCCAATGGGACACCTCCATAGCCAAGAGTCATCAATCGTGTTAGAATGGCAGAAACTTCAGTCACCTAATTACTATATTTGAAAAACTATGTATGGAATGCACTTTCGATTTCCAAGCTGCCGCACTTGCTCGTTCAAACCCCTTTCCCCCCTCCCTTTCTGTCGGCAACTCTAAAATGACCATAGAAATATTTTATGAGTTGACACTGATTACTACATTGTTTAGCCACGAAAGGTCCAGTCTCAATTGTAATTCGAATATTACTTTTACTTATTAGAGGAGGAGGAGGAGGCCTGAATAGATTCCACTTGCACGGCCCAGTTCTGAAGAGCTAAAGGCCCAGTAGTGGGGCATGGCCCTGGGGTTGGGGAACCCTGTCCTAGGTTGATGAAGCACCCACAACTTCTGGTGGCAGGCTGTTCCACTGGTTAATTGTTCTCACTGTCGGGAAATTCCTCCTGAGTTCCAGGTTGCTTCTGTCCTTGATGAGTTTCCATCTGTTGTTTCTTGTCCTGCCTTCAGGTGCTTTGAGCCCCTCAAATATTGGAAGACTGGCAGCTGGTTCATACTTATGACTGTTGCTGTGTCCCAAGATCATGTGATTTCAACCCCCCCCCCTTTGCAGCCTTCCGACAAGCCAAGTCAATGGAGAAGCCAGGTTCACTTAACAACGGTGTGACTAACTTATCCACTGCAATGATTCGCTTAACAACTATGGTTGGAAAGGTCGTAAAAATGGGGCAAAGCTCCCTTAACAAATGTCTCACTTAGCCACAGAAATTATCATGCCCCTGATTTGGAGGGGGAGGCCGAGCAGGGAACAGGAGTGTGGCTCTGTTGGCTGTGGAGGAAACGGGGGAAGGGCAAAGTCTGGCTGGGCAGAGCAGGGGAGAGGTAGAACAAGGGAGAGGGTGTTCAGAGGAAGACCCAGGTCCACCCCCTCTTCATCCTAGGGCATGCAGGGAGGAACGGAGAAGGGAGCAACGTGGGTTGCCTGGCTTACGGGAGAGGAAAGGGCCCTGATTCCCTTCATTAGCCATAGCTGGGAGTTTAAAAGAGATGCATGATGAGTGTGGCAGCTGCTGGGAGCAAACGTGAGTTCATCTTGAGTTCATCTTGTGTTGACTTTGCTTATCTGCGTTCCTGGCGTCTTCCCAACCGTGTTGAGTTATTGCTGTGCCTTCACGTCTGGAATTCTTGCTCCTCCCCTGCCGGACTCATTACTTCGGGTTTGGCTTGTTTGGACTTTAAGTTACAGTTTTTGTTGACCACGTTTTGGACTGAATTTTCTGCAGTCAAAGGCTGTTCTCCAGCCAGAAGGTAACCTGGACATTGGGGGCAAAGTTGGAGGTAATAAAGAGACTCTTCTTGCTTATTTGACTGTGTTGCCTTTGTGCCACGCCCCTTTGGGTCATCACAGAAATGTTGGACTCAATTGTGTCACAAGTCGAGAATTACCTGTATTGCAGCAGTCAGCAGTGTACGGTTTGTTTAATTATCCCGTTGTTTGTTTATCCTCCCCACAGTGGAACCGAGTGAGAGCGATCAATCCTGGAACCGACAAGCATCTCGTCGGGGCGATGAGACCTGGAATGGCCATACCAAGAGCCCAGGCTCCCCTAAGATGTCTGAGGGCAGTACGCAAAACGGCAGGTAGAGAGCATCAATCTCACCCCCTTCGCCGTTTGTCGGAGCAATCTCCTTTCTACCAATGAATTAATAGGATTTATGCAGCTCGAATTAGGAAGCGGAATGGGGTACCCTGTCCCCATTTTGGACATTCCTCCCTACAACGAAATTGGGTGCTCCTCGCTTAAGAACCGCTCAGAATTGTGAAAGATTTCCCCACAGCCTTGTAATCTGGCTGGTGAATTCTGGGAGTTGAAGTCCATGCATCCTGCACACCTAGAGTACTGCATCCAGTTTTGGTCATTGGACTATCAAAAAGACACTGAGACTCTAGAAAGAGTGCAGAGAAGAGTAACCAGGATGATGAGGGGATTGGAGGCTCCAACATATGAAGAACGGTTGCAGGAACTGGCTAGTCTAGGGAAGAGAAGGACCAGGGGAGACAGGAGAGCATCTTCCAATATTTGAGGGGCTGCCTCAGAGAGGAGGAGGAAGGGGGTCAAGCTATTCTCCAAAGCAAGAGGGGGAGGGAGGGAGGGAGAAAAGGAAGGAAGGAAGGAAGGATGGACAGAAGACTTGCCTAGTTTAAGGAAAAGAAGGATGGGTGACATGATAGCAGTTTCCCAATATCTCAGGGCTTGCCATGAAGAAGAGATGTGAAAAAGACGTTGAGACTCTAGAAAAAGTGCAGAGAAGAGCAACCAGGATATTGAGGGCACTGGAAGCTGAAACATATGATGAACGGTTGCAGGAACTGGGCCTGGCTAGTGTAGTGAAGAGAAGGACCAGGGGAGACAGGAGAGCAGCCTTCCGATATTTGAGAGGCTGCCCCAGAGAGGAGGAAGGAATCTCAAGCTATTCTCTAAAGCCCCCGAAGGCCAGAGAAGGAATAGTGGATGGAAACTGAACAAGGAGAGATTCAACCTGGAAATAAGGAGGAGATTTCTGATAGTGGGAACAATCAACCCATGGAACAGAAGTTGCCTTCGGAAGTCGTGGGAGCTTCATCCCTGGAAGTTTTCGAGAAGAGGCTGGACTCCCATCTGTCAGAAACGGTGTAGGGTCTCCTGCTTGGATAGGGGGTTGGACTAGATGACCTACAAATTCCCTTCCAACTTTGTTAATCTAATCAGAAATAAACAGTACCCCAAATTAAGGAACTGCCAACTCAAACAAACAAGTGAATAGCCTAATGAAGGAACCACCAAAAATATTCCCACCAACACTGACAGGACAAGCCACAAGTATACAAAACGAGAGCAAACCCCACTCCCCTTCTAGCACTGATGATGTTACCTAGTTGGGTAATGAAACACCTGCAAGTTCAGGGACTATCAACGAACCCACAGAACGTTGCTTTTTATCCAAGAAATTCACCCAACAATGATAAAACATAATTTCTCCCATCCTAGCAAATCCTCCGTGATTTTGTTCCACGTTTAACAAATATGAAGAGACTGGACTTTCCATCTGTCAGAAATGGCGTAGGGTCTCCTGCTTGGCCGGGGGGTTGGACTAGATGACCTACAAGATCCCTTCCAATTCTGTCCATCTGTTAAAAGTTAACAGCTCACAGTGAGCACCAGAATCAAATGGGGAATATAATGAAAATATTGTTGGCGGAGTCAGGGACTCCCACAGACCCACAGTTTCAAAATTGTCACCCAGTCCTTGTGTCTCTCCACGGCAGGAGAAGATCGCGGCCAGAAGAAACAACGTGGTACGTAGAACCGGTCGGTTCCCCTGTTCCCTCACAACTCCACTCTCAGCCCAGCCAGAACGGTGAGTCTCTTCTTTTTGATCAGTTTCGTTGCAATTAAGGGCAGTCCTCAACTTAACAACTGTGTCAGGATTTGGGCAGTTACTCCAATTAAACCATGAGCCTCGAGCCACACTCCCAAAACTTGAAAGGATTTATTAGAAGTTAACATGCCAGCGTTGCCCTGGGCGTAGCCGACTCTGAGATACGCAATTCACCGTCACCCTTGATCTTGCTTTCCCCCCCACCCCTCTGGGTGTATCATAATTCATATTCTCCAACAAAACACATCCATAGGCAAGAGTCATCAATCATGCTCTCCAGTTAGATTTTTTTTCTTGGCGGAAGCTTCAGCCATCTAATCAGTCTTTGAAGAAAATATGAACGGAATGTACTTTCGATTCTACACTGCCGCCTGCTCTTTGAGACTCTCCCCCACTTCTCTCTGTTGGAAACTATAAAACGTGTATACAAAATGTTTTATGAGTTGACAAATTGTTTTGGTTAGTGACTGTTCCAAGTTAAAACAGCCCTGAGGGGAAAAAAAATGACTGATGGCCATTTTTCACACTTACGACCATTGCAGCATCTCCCCTGGTCACGGGATCGGAATTCGGACGCTTGGCAATGGGTTCATATTTATGACACGGTCACAGCGTCACTTGATTCCCCTTTTGCGACCTTCTGATTAGCCAAGTGAATAGGAAAGCCAAGATTCGCTTAACGACGTTGTTCGTAATTTAACAACTGCAGGGATTCACTTAACAACCGTGGCAAGAGAGCTCGTAAAACGGGGCAGACTCGCTTCACAACTCTCTCTCTTAGCAACAGAAATTTGGGGCTCAACCATCGTAAATCGAGGTCTACGTTATACCTCCTAAACCAAGGGTCTTCAGACTTGGCAAATTTAAGACTTGTGGACTTCAACTCCCAGAATTCCTGGGCTAACCTGACTGGAGGAGGAAGAATTCTGGGAGTTGGAAGTCTACAAGTCTTAAAGCTGTCAAGTTTGAAGACCTCTGAACAGGTGTTAACCTGTGCAACTACCGTGTTTCTCATATAAGGCCGGGTCTTTTTTTTTTTTTTTTGAGCCCTGAAAAAATGGCTAGGCCGTCTTTTCGGGGGTGACTTAATTCCTGCCCCCCTTGCATCTTCGGGTGGGTGGGCGGTGACGGCTTGGATGTTGACCTCGGCATTAGTGGGGCACTTCGTATCAGGGTCAACGCAGGCAGCACCATATCTGGGTGTGCCACAAAAGTACTTCCTAACAGCAAGGCCCCCCCACCATTCCCCCCTATTTCACATGTTTTGATATAGGCCTTAATTTGGGGAGAGGGGCTTAATTTCATTTCATGCCTATAAAACGTGCTGGGACTTCGTATTGGGGGAGGCCGTATTGTTGGAGAAACAGGGTACAACTCCCAGCAGCCAGTGAGAAGAGAGGGAGGGGAGAGCAGGATTGGCTCCTGGAGGATGGCAATAGGACCCCCTACTACAGGGGTCTTCCAACTTGATAGCCTTAAGACTTGTGGACTTCAACTCCCAGAATTCCTCCTCCTCCAGTTATGTTAGCTCAGGAATTCTGGGAGTTGAAGTCCACAAGCCTTAAAGCTGTCAAGTTTGAAGACCCTTGGTTTAAGAAGTATAAGATAGGCCTTGATTTATGAGGTTTGAAGACCCCTGTCCTAAACAGACATATAAAAATGTCCCAATAGTCATTTTTAGTTATTACATCACGAATTAGCTCTATTCCAAGCCAAAAATTAGTGTTAGAACACTAATTAGAAAAGGATAGAACATCTTAATTTTCCTCTTCCCTCCTCTTTATCTTTCCTTTTATGCTGGGCCTTTTTTAAAAAATATATTAACTAACCTAACCTAGTTTGTTTGTTTGTTTTTCATTCTGGAAGCCCATCAGGGGAGGTTAAATATTTTCAAATAACTCAGATTGACCATTAAAGGGGACAACTTTTGATTTATTACAATTAAGACGACATCTACTGAATAATGAATGGAATTACAGTATGTGACAAATGTGACAGATAAAAGTAAATATGTATAATGAATATAGAAATGAAACAAGGATTTTAGATAATATTGTAAAACAAGATATGAGAATATTTAAAGACAAATGAAATAAGTTACAATATGAACTGGAAATGGATAAAATAAGGTGCAATGAATATAAGAATACTTGAGAATATTTAAAGGAAAATGGAAAAAATAACAATATGATATGAAATTGAACATGAAAGATGAATATGTAATTAAAGTCACGTTTGTATTGAAATGTAAAAACCTGGAACCACATCGTTCACCCAAAGAGATGATTTTTTAAAATATACAAATAATTTTTTTTTTTTTTTAAAAAGGGAGGTTAAATATTTTAAGAGAAAGAAACAGACCCCAATCTATAGGCTAATGAGAGGAAACCCAACCCAACCCGGGTTTAAATTGGAGTTTCATTTAAAGTTACTGCTTATCTTTTTCTTTCCAGGCGACGTTCCTGTCGTCAACTCTGCAGAAACCGAGGAGCCACCACTGGAAAGGCTGAACGGGCCCCGGCTCATCCAGAGAGTTTTACTCCGGGGTTCGGCCTTGCTGGCTTCCCTGGGCTTGGGCCGAGAGTTGCCGGTCCCTTCTCCGGAGGGGCCCAGGGAGGGGCCAACTTCAAGGAAGCCATCTCCCCGAAGAGAGCCTACTCCTGCTTTACAGGTGGAGCCCTGCAAGGATGAGGCTGCCACTGATCTCCTCATTGAACTGGACTCGGTGGGGGACAGGACAGCCTTGCCACCTCTCTGGACACAAGAGTCACCCCGGGCGGCACAACTCGCAGAAGGCCGGACCACTAAGGCTCAAAAGTGGGGTGAGTGGCACCAGTCCAGCCATCTTAAGGCATGTTGGCTGGGGGATTCTGGGAGTTGAAGACCATTCATGTT